CTGTAAGATCATGACCTGAGCCGAAGTCAGACGTTCAACCGACTGAGCCACCCAGGTGCCCCTATTTTTAATTTTTTAAATGTTTATTTATTTCTGAGAGAGAGAGAGAGAGAGAGAAAGAGTGTGAGCAGGGGAGGGGCAGAGAGACAGGGAGACACAGGATCCGAAGCAGGCTCCAGGCTCTGAGCTGTCAGCACAGAGACCAATGTGGGGCTTGAACTCACAAACCATGAGATCATGACCTGAGACAAAGTAGGACACTTAACCGACTGAGCCATCCAGGCGCCCCAGAAAATTTTAAGTAATCTCTATACCACATGTGGGATTCAAACTCACAACCCCGAGATCAAGAGTCACATGCCCCACCAGTTGAGCCAGCCAGGGACCCCCTCACAAATATCTTTTTATGTATGCCAGTATGTGAAAAATGTTTGGAGGCACACTTTACAGAAAGCCTCAGATTTTATTTAAGGATTAAAAAAATTTTTTTTTAGAGATTTTAAGTAATCTCTACACCTATCACGGGGCTCAAACTTACAACCCCAAGATCAAGAGTTGTATGCTCTACTGACTGAGCCAGCCAGAAAGCTTCAGATTTTAAAGAGGATTCCTACTAGGAAGAAATGGCCACATTTATGGCTCTTTATATGGCTGAGAAAGTTCACAAATTTACAACTTTGCACACTGATATTACTTCCCTACAAAATTCATCCTTCATAAAATGCTCATGGCCAAAATTTATAGCCTTGAGTGGTACAGGGGCTGTCTGGAGACCTATGGGTCAGTTTTGTGGAGAGTCAACCTTTTCCCCCTAGCTTTCTTGAGGTGTAACTAACCAAATTGTAAGATATTTAAAGTGTACATCATAATGACTTGATATACACATTGTGAAAGGATGTCCCCCATCTGGTTAATTAACACATGTATCAATCAACTCACATATTTATCCCCCCCCCCCCACTTCTTTTGGTGAGAACATTTGTGTTCTACTCTCTCAGCACATTTCTATTACACAATATGGCATTATCAGTTATAGTCACCATGTTATACATTAGATACTTGAGTCAATCTTTTAATTGGCTGGATCTAATCCATTCATTTCCCCCCTCTGATAAGATCATCTCAAGTCTAAATCATGATTTTGTGACAGCAGTTAATACTCTGTATATATTTTTTAAATTTTTATTTGTTTATTCAGGGGAGGGGCAGAGAGAGAGAGAGAATCCCACCCAGGTTCCACGCCCAGGACAGGGGCCAGATGCCCAATGTGGGGCTTGATCTTACGACTATGAGGTAATGACATGAGCCAAAATCAAGAGTTGGACATGTAACTGATTGAACCCAGGTGTCCCTAAATTATATATTTTTAAATATGTATTTATTTAAGTAATCTCTACGCCCAATGTGGGGCTTGAACTCACAGCCCTGAGATCAAGAGTCGCACACTCTACTGACTGAGCCAGCCAGGTGTGCCTCTTTATAAGACATTTTGTAAAACAAAACGTTCTCACATTTAAAGCTGTAAATTCTAGATGTGAAAATAACACATACACGCCACACACTGTTATATGGTTTATTTTTAAAATGATAGTAATAAATGCTTTTCCCTTGTTGGGAAATGACATACCTATTTTCAGTGGATAGAGCCTTAAAAGTAACAGCGTTCTGTTCAAACTGAACTTGTATAATTGCACAAAAGTCATACAAAGCATTAAGAAATGCTAACAAAGCCTGCAGCTCTCTCAGATCCTCATTGAGCACACCCTGTAAGGCCTTGATTTCAGTGGGGACCCCTGATCTGAGCAATACTGATGCTCACGCCAAGTTCCTCAGTGACACTTAGGCAGAGGTTAAGAACAGTCAGGAGGACCCACATGCTTTGTGACAACGGAATTCTGCTCTCATTAAACATTAGCATTAATGATGCATTCACTTTCTCATTATATTAGGAACATTAAACACTTCAGCTTGAAGTATATTTTCCCAGGCTTAAAAATGTAACCCTATCAGCTTAAGTTTTAGGTGACAGATTCCCACTTCAGGAAACTAAAATTTAAAAAAAAAAAAAAAAAAAAAAAATTAACATCATAAAAACCTCTTCCAAGAGGCTCCTTTATGCTGCCACCAGCCTGGGTCCTCACTTATTTTCTAACACACACACACACACACACACACACACACACACACACACACTACATTATTGTTGATCATATGCCAACTGAGGGGTGGCAGATAGGTTCTGACTCAGATCCCAACTTTGTTTTATTGGTAGCGGTTATTGGAAACACAGTGTTCCAAAGGACTCTGAGGTCACCGCTGACCTGGTGGGCAGTCCCCATGCCTTACTTGTGATCTCTCACACAGACATGGGGGAAGGGGAGCCAGCACTCCTGCATCAGATCTGTAATCTTTGTATTATCAAGAAAGCTAAAGGAGGGTGTTGGTTATCTAAGCTTTGAAAAATATAACAGCTCAATTTTCCTATTTTAATGAGTTACAATGTCTTTATCTTGGGTTTTCTTATTTTATGAATCTTTATCTCAAATTAAGATATAATGTCTATGGTAGGATTTTTCCCTTTCTGACCTTGTTACAAAGCTTAGTGAAAAAATAACCAAGTTTTAAAAGAAGACACAAAGAGAACTTCAAGTCATCTCATGAGGAGTACCTTCCTAATTTGGATATGAGGACTATGGGAAGAGGAGGGTTTCTACTCCAGTATTTCTACTCCTGTGTTTTAAATAAACAGTCTGTTTGTTGAGTATGAAGAAAAACAGCAATTCCTGAGACAAACACACAAACGGATGTGGCAGAGCCTATCTGGAAGTGCTTCCTTCATTTAGATGGTATGCATCATCAATGACCCAACCGTCTCTCTACAACTGAGGGAGAAAAATCCTAGTGTAACATTTGAAGGATTTCTGAGAATTAAGGTTTTCATTCGGAGAGGCTGGTGTATGAGACTTCGACATGGAGGAAATGTGGGGCATGTCTGTGGTGTGGCTAAGAATGCGTGAGATTCTTGCACTGTGCACCACTATCTGCTTAACAAATCCCGAATATATCAGGCGGCCCAGAAACACTAGGCCAGCTCTTGATGGTGCTGATAGTCTGATCCGATGCTTAGCTACTGAAGTTAATCTGGGACTCAAAGGACAATATACTTGGGCCAGGGACTAAAAATCACCAGAAGAATTCTGCAACAGCCATTCTGTGGCTCGCGACAGCTGCAGAACTTGACTAGGTTCTAACCAGAAGTCTGTTTCATGTCCAGGTATGACGCTATACATAAAAGTCACTGGGCTTTTACTTAGAAAGTTGAAGACTACTGAAAACGATTTATAGCCAGAAAAGGAAATTCCTTATTTCAGTATTGTAAATGAACAAAGGAAACTCAATCCAAGGAAAGGGTTGTTGGGGCCACAGAAGCCCAGAGGGTGAGAAGTTGTGGATTTATTTTCAGTCCCCTTCTTTTAGAAAGTAGCATAGGGCTGAGAAGTTAGAGGGAGGCGGGGAGGACAGGCCCGGGGACGAGACTCCGGCTGTGTGGCCATCCGTTCCCACAGCTGCTTAGCAGAGCCAAGCATTCGAGGGTGAGCACTGGCAGGACACCGTGTGTATCACTGATTTATAACATGATCTTTGTCCCCTGATGATGCCGTGTGTCTGCTTTTGGCTGTGTACCTTGGGTTTTCCTGGTAAGACGGGCAAATATCTAACACCAAGTGTTAATCCCCTCGCCTGTTTCTTTCGTAAAATCCCTTGACTTTACGCTCTAACGACCAGCAGGTTCTGTACATCTTGGGCCATGTCCAGGTTTAAAGGAGGTGAACACACTAGTTCTAGGACAAAAGCTCCCAAATAAACCACCTGTGACAATCTAGCCCTATTCATTCTGCAAACTGAGTTTCTTGTATGACTGCAGCCAGTGCTGTGTTGAGGGAAATATGACTCCTTCCTACTGCCCTTCCAGGGCTAATATTAGAGAAATGAAAGGATCACAGGATGTTCTTGGTGAACTCTTGGTGAGTTCCGTATTTTGCACTAGAGGAAACTACAGAATTGTAACAGGAGCATCTCTCTGAAACGTGGGTGCCATTCCTCCGACTTCAAGAGGGTTAAGGAGAGGATCTACCTTTTCCCCGGGGTGGCAGCTTCTAGGGTGTGCCATAAGGGTCAGTGCACTAAGAATCTATCAAGAAAGCATGGATGCCTGGGATAGGAATCATCTTCAGCCTGAGAACAGATGGACAGAGGTCTAGATCTACAGAAGACACATATATGCTTTTCTTTCTCTTCCATCTCTTCCCTTATCAAGAGTCTAAGCATTTTCCAGGCCACAGGCAGCCAAATAGCAAGAATAACTCAAAACTGATTTAATAGTTAGTGTTGCTAGAATCTGGATTAGAGCTGAATGGTGGGACTGCAGGACACCAGTGCCCACAAGGGCTCATATGGCTCCAGTAGAGACGTAGGATCTGGAAAAAATGGACAGGAGTTATGGAAGGTATGTACTAGCCACCCACAATCACTGACAGGTGGTTTTTAGTATAGGCAGAGACACTGGTGGTTAGCTCAAAATACAAGCATCATAAACATCTTATGACATTAGGTAGATCTTAGCCAAAGTGCAGAAAGGGAAAGACCTGGAGAGAAGGAGAAAAGTTTCTGTATATTTAATTGTGTTAACTGGAATGCATGGAGATATGTAACCACGATTTTTCTTTACATTTAAAAATTCAAACTGCCTTGGTCATTAACTGTACAGAGTTCATGTTACTGAAGTTGTAGTAACATCCAGTTCAAAAATTCAATTTTCCAGACTTCTAGATACTTACAACAAAGAAAGATCACACACAATTACATACATACAGTTGCCACACTCCCAAACAGAACACGTGTATAAATGTGCACACAGAGACACACACACTCAGGACATGCGCACAGATGCGAACAAACACCCCGTTTGAACCTGAGCTGCACGTGGGCTGCAGTGAGGGTCAAGAGGCCCTGCTGCATATCTGTTCTATGTCATTCATTTCTTTGGGACAATCTGCAGAAAGGATGAGAGGTGAGTCCTGAGTCACCACTACATCATCTTCAATCCGTACACCAAGACCACGAAACTTCTCTGGGGCATCTCTGTCATCCTCTGGAATATAAATGCCTGAAAAGTAGAAAAAAGAATGTGCTGTTCATAAATGGCAGTAAGTGGATGATTTGGGATAAGTTAACCTCTCTGTGTTACAATTCATCTGCAGAACTGGGATCCTAACAGTATCTACCTAGAATTTTGGATATTAAATGAGATAATACACATAAAAGTGTGTGGCACATAATGGTCAATAAATGTTGGCTATCATTGCTAGAACTATTACTCTAGTTTTGTGAACCAGACTACAGGCACCACGTGACTGTGATAATAGTGATCATGATTCTGTCATATTCTAGTGGTTCAAGCAGGCCACTAAAGTTACTTTTGAGTATGTCAATATATGCCAGAAACCAATAGATTATATAAATGCATTCTTTCCCTCCCGAGTCATTCCATGGGAAAAGGGAACTTTGCTAAAATAAGGACATAAAGTATTTTAAAATATATGAAAAACACTTATTTTGAGATTATTAGCCTGAACAACCATAAACTAGAAAAACTCAAGTAAGCTCTTTCCAATAAGCCGTAAATATAACTGATGTACACAATGGAGAGTAAGAGAGAAACAGGAAGACTTTAACAGACATTTGGACAATTCTAAGAGTCCCCTTTCTAATCATGAAGTAAGATAAGAACAGGTCTTTTCATATTTAAGAAACTGGAAACTTCCTCCACTATACTCACAGATGCTGCCCTGGGATAAAAAGAAAAAGATCAGCGAAGGAAAATGTATTCAAAGTCTAAGGAAGCACCCATGTACCAACCAGACTATACTGAATAATACATAAGGCATACATAATAGCAACATGTGACTGGGTACTATAAAGTCGGGTCCCAACATAATTTATATACTTTAGAGATGAAAACACTTGAAATCTATTGTTGAAATACGTTTTCTTGACAAAAACAGCATCATTATTTAAAAATCACTCTTGGGGGGCACCTGGGTGGCTCAGCTGGTTGATTAAGTGTCTGACTTCGGCTCAGGTCAAGATTTCACGGCTCATGAGTTTGAGCCCTGTATCGGGCTCTGTGCTGACAGCTCAGAGCCTGAAACCTGTTTCATATTCTGTGTCTCCAGTTCTCTTTGCCCCTCCCCTGCTCATACTCTGTATCGCTCGAAAATAAATAAACATTAAAAATTTTTTGGGGGGGGCGTCGGGGAGGCTCAGTCAGTTAAGTGTCTGTCTTCAGCTCAGGTCATGATTTCATGGTTCGTGGGTTCAAGCCCTGCAATGGGCTCTCCGCTTTCTGCACAGAGCCCGCTTCGGATCCTCTGTCCCCTTCTTTCTCTGCTCCCCCCACCTTCTCAAACAACAACAACAAATTTTTTTAAATCACTCTTGGGGTGCCTGGGTGACTCAGTCGGTTGAGCATCTGACTCTTTTTTTTGACTCAGGTCATGATCCCAGACTTGTGGGATCAAGCCCCATGGGCTCTGAGCTGAACATGGAGCCTGCTTAAGGCTCTCTCTCTCTCTCTCTCTCTCTCCCCCTCACTCTCTCTCTAAAAATTAAAAACAAAAAAACAAAACCAAAAATCCCTCTTGTAACATCAGTCCTTACACTCCACTGTGACCACCACTTTTCTGTGGAATTCTGTCCACTGCCCAGGATCGTTCAAGCCGGGGAGCCATTAGATTGCCAGCTTCCTGTCAAACTTGGGAGAAAGGACCTGGACACCAAGAAGCAGAGTAGCTCTCTGAAGGAAAGCACCTGTGGCTTCAGAGGCGTGAGCATCCCACCACTAAACAGGAGACGAGTAGAAATTGGCCCCGGGAAAGGCAGGGTTTAAAAAAAGATTTATTTCTTAATATCTACTTATAGAAAGCAGTCTCCATCTGTTGTTTACTGGAGAAGTCAAATGAAACAAATTGTGTGATGTTAAATAGGAAAGCTCAAGGAAAATCTAAAATAAAATTCCCTTCTACACTGAAGAGATCCATTTTCCTGTCTCTCCTAATTTAATTATGTTGGTTCAGGTAAAACTAAGCAACATTTACCTTTCTACCTGATAGTGTCATGTGTCCCACGGGATCAGGGCCTGCACCTGCCCTTACCTGGCTCTACTGTGATTACCATACCAGGCTGTAGAGGGAGGGAACGGGGCATGTCAGGGGTGTCGTGGACATCCATCCCGAGGTAATGGCCAACGTGATGAGGGCAGTATTTTCGAGCAGTCTGGAAAAGATAATCACCACAGTGTTATTAGGGCAATGACCCCTTAAGGGGAAAGTTGGGCATGTATCGATCAGTGAGATACGTGTTAATACCTCCCCCCTGGTTCTGCCACTTAGGTTTAACCTATCCTCTGGCTAATGCCTAAGAGACCCGATAAACTGCTACCTCTTACCCCAGCAATGACTACAGTAAATGAAACTCTTTTCAGGGTGGAGGGAGGATGATTATGTTAGAATAGTTCTCTTTTCAATGTTCACAAGTCCCTCTCAGAAAGCCTGCTCTGGAGACTGACTATCTCACAGCAACTTGTGGAGTAGGCACAAGACATTAAATTAACACAGTAATTATTAGGCATTTACCGGCTTGGATATTCCTATCTGTTAATTAGATTTGTTGGCTGCAGCAGCAGGAGGAATTTATTGCGTCTTTCCTGTTGATAAAAGAAATCCTGGCAGCCTAAACTTGGAGATGAGATGCCTTAATGGTCTGTTTGGTGTGGCCACCTGGCATCTTAATTTACAGCTAAGGTTTTACATTTTTACTGAATATCATTACATTTTGGCTACAGATGAAATTCACCAAAGACGTGGCCCTTGGGGATATTGTTAGTTTCACCAATGTCACTGAAGCAACAAACACCCTCCCCCATGATTTCTACTTTTCAAAATCACCACAAAAGGATTGAGAGTTAACCTTTTATCCTTTTTGTGTCCTTTTCCATTCTGTCTGCATCAGCCTTCATTTTATATTTTCTGCCCACTGAGCTACACAGGATGCAATGCAACACAGGATGCAATGATCTAGAATGTGCTGCCATCTTCTGGAAGAAATAAGTACTGACTCCTTTTGTTTTAATCCATGTTCAATCTAAACCTCTTCTAGATGAAGAATCACAAAGACCATTTTTAAATCTAATTAGTTTTCTAGAGGCTGAAACCCAGCAGCACATCAGGTGTTCTTGAGAGCCGAGGTCAGAAGAGGGGCCATACCTTGAAGGCATTATTTTCCTTAATGTTCTTCACAATCCCCAACTCCTTAAGCTTCTGGGCTATCAGTGTCAGCATCAAGCTGTAGATGTTCTCCAAGCTTGTCCCAGGGGAGCAGAGCGTCAGACAATCTCTCTGAATCTCTAGAACAGCTTCATAGAGTTCTGCCTGAGGTGCTGTGAATCTGGGGACAGGAAAACCAAAGAACTCACATTTGGAATAATCTGATATTGCAGGAAGTCTGCTTCCAAGTCTGATTAGGAAAAACTCCAAGGTGCTGATGATGGGGCATTGTTGATACCTAATCAGTATCAATATATCAGTACTGACAGGACCTTAATTGTGACCTAGACACTCAATAGGAAGAACAATAACTCTTCAAGCTGGGGCAGCAACAGCCTCTCCTGCAAACGATCAGCAGATATACATGAGGTGAGGCTAGCAGATAAAGTCAGCCATGAATGCATCTGGAGGGTCAGACCAACCTCAACTTGATCCTTTCCATTTTTTTTTTTTTTTACCACTTTACACACACACACACACACACACACACACACACACACACACACACAAAGGGTGCTTCGGTGGCTCAGTTGGCTAAGCATCTCTGACTCTTGGTTTTGGCTCAGGTCATGATCTCACAGTTCCTGAGTTCGAGCCCCAGGTTGGGCATATGTGCTGTTGGTGTGGAACCTGCTTAGGATTCTCTCTCTCCCTCTTTCTCTGCTTCTCCCCCACTCTCACCATGTGCTCTCTCTCTCTCTCAAAATAAATGAACATTGAAAAAGCAAAAGAAAACAAAGCCTAGGAATCCACTTCTTGTAGGTAAAGCCTATGTCATGAGATAAACTAGTAGATACTCTGGCTACTAGGTATCCTTAGAATAACAATTTCTTTAGCAATCATGGAGAAAAACAAGAAAAAATTAAGCTGGTGCGGTGTATGATATGTATTTTCTACACTGCTGATGGGGAGTGTAAATTAGTATAGCCAATTAAGTCAAAGGTTTTAATAAAAATATTCACAAAATTTGAGCTTATAATTCTGTGCTAAGAATCCATCCTAAGAAAATATTTGACGAAAAACAAATAACCCAGTGAAGAAATGGACAGAAAACATGAATAGACACTTCTCTAAAGAAGACATCCGGATGGCCAACAGGCACATGAAAAGATGCTCAATGTCGCTCCTCATCAGGGAAATACAAATCAAACCCACACTCAGGTATCACCTCACACC